CACACTGTATAGGTTTGATTAGCCTATTGCATGACGTAACCGAAATGGCGTCTCTTGGGGCTGTAGTGGCTGTAGCGGTAGTGGATTCTAATGGGGAAATTGACACCATTCGGGTGCTAACCCAATAAAAGGTGCATGTTGTCAATCACCGAGAGTGGACTTCACTTTTACTACTGACAGGTCTTATGCAATACAATGTGCCCTAAACCTACCGCCTTAAGGATTTCTCATCATAATAAAAAGGTTCCTCACCCTCGAGATAATTATGAAGCCAAGGTGGAGTGTTTACGGGTGCCTGAGAGACATGTGCACACATTAATTGGTAATTCAACCACATCTGGTGTCAGTGAATTAAGATGCAATACAAATGGACACTGACTATTGTTCGGCGCGTTACCTGTAAGCATCAGGAGAGACGTTGTTCAGCAGCACCCCAGTCAGACTCAGGAATAGGGCGAAACACCAAATGCCGACGATGGCCATCCGCGCCGAAGCGACGGTCAATCGCTTCGTCGAGAACGGGAAGAGAATACAGACGAACCGGTCGATGCTGATGAGGGTGAGGAGGAAGACGGATGTCTCGCTGCTGAGTACGGAGATGAAACCGGCGATCTGACAGGCCACGCTCGACCTCCATTCCGTTGAAAAGCCCTCCCAAAAGTACGACTCGCCGACGTAGATATCCATAACGGCCAGGAACACCATGTACACACCTGATTAATTGATAGAATGATTGATTGATAGATTGATTGATTGGTAGATTGATTGATTGATTGTAAATACCGGGTGTAAACATATCAACATAATAAATATGATAATATCAAGGAGATCTCCCTGATAATATTATGGCAAGATTATTTAGGAATAACCCCCTGCTCAGCTGTGCCATTATTCAACACAGCTATCCTATCGAGGGGTCCTGATTTTGTTGGTTTACGTCAGGTAACAATTTCATGATGATCACTCAAATTGTTTTTCTTTGGCATTTTCACTTTTAGAATAACTTGACTTTTCATGACATATTAATAAGCGGTTCAGGATTAAGAGCTCAAGGTTTGGCGAACGAGAAAGACCTCTCGATGGAATGTCGCTAGACAGTCGTGCATTTTATGGTCCAAGTAGGCCTACTACCAGGGGCGTCGCTATAGACCTTTTTCAGTGGTGGGGTGTAGAGTTCACCGATTACCGACAGAACTAGCCACCAATTACTAACAAATATATTAATGCCAATGTGCCAATTTCTACAAATTTAACACTATAAACCCGGGGCTGGGGTTTGATATTTCTATACCAGTCCTGCCAATGTGCCCATGGTCATTTTCCTCGACCTCATAAATATACGATGCATTTCGTATATTTCTAACATCTGGCATTGATGTAGTGACTTTACTTGGCTCTATCGGCCCAAGCGAATCGTCGAATGAACTCGAGTCACAACTTCGGGCGCATAATAATGTTATTACTAAAAGCATACGTATTTTCGTTGACAATTTCTCTACACGATCTTTTATGATAATGGGGAAGGGGGTAATGTGGGGGTACAACTAACCTCTCCTGCTCCGTTTCTATACAGATAAATCTAACCTACTTTCCGGATCATTATTTTGATGATTAAAAAATTATTTGACATTATGAAACATCGGGAAAGGGTACATCGGGTCCCCCTCCCCCTCCCACTCAGTTTTCTTTAGGGCACGCGTATGCTTGTTCCCTCCCTTCAAAAGCACCCCCTATCTCTGGACTGCCAGCATTTATGAGCCGCCCTTTCGTGTGCTTTTCCTGCCTTGAAGAGCCTCCTAAATCCGGAACACTGTTCAACGTACACCCCTATTAATGATATTCAAGATATTTTATAACCCCTTTTTAAATTTCTCAGGAGTCCAAAGAGAGAGAGAGAGAAATACGCAACTCCTTTTTTTTTACAATTCTCGGGCCGGACTTTGTCGCACGAAAAATACCTCTTTACCGGAGATTTGGGGAACACGAATGCGGTCCCTCCGACCCCGGAGGTGTCATTTTTTTCCAACGAGAGTTCCGTACCTTGACTGATATGTTTTACGTCATGAGCAGCTTGGAAAGAGGTCAAAAACAATTAAGCTTTGATTATTTATTGCTTTGCCTCACTATTTATAAAGGCAAAATATTGAATGAATAAATAGATATTTGAACCCACTACTCCAACCTTGTATTACGCTGTCCTTACCGATTGAGCTAACGATACGTTCATGAAGGCGGGTTTGCATGATTATTAAAACCCAATCACTAACACTAACGGTTACCATGTGCGTGTTTAGCTAGCTAGCTAGACTCTTCCTGATTGGCTATATGCAAATGAGTTCATACTGGGGTCCGGAACTATCGTGGGAAAAATAATTTAGCACCCCGGAGTGGAGAGGTGAGGGGGAGAGGTGAGGGGGGGGGGGGGGGGGGGTGGGGACTGGGCATCCGAAGTTGGGTGAATCCGAAGTTGAACTCCACATCGTCCACCTCTCTTGAACCCTCCCCCCCCCCCCCCCACCCCCAACCTTTACTAAATATTTAAAAAACATCTCCAAACCTCACCCATCAAGAAATCTGAAGCGGCCAGGTTGGTGATAAACATAGACTGTATCTGACCGACGGGATTCGCCGGCTTGCTCCTTAGTCGCATGATTATGACCATGAAATTACCGATGAGGGCGCTAACAGCCAGGAACCAGATGAAGACTTTGATGGTCGCGTTCTGAAGGAAGGTCTTCCTGCAAGTAAAGAGGGGATGAGGCGGCCTCCGAAGGATACACTCTGTCTCCGCTGGAGCTAAACAGCAGAGCCGTGGATCGTTGACAGAGCTAGTATTCATGAAATTCGATAGAAAAACAATAAGCGTACCATCCTTAATTTCTCAGGGTTGTTTTTTCTTCTGTCCCAAATCAAGCCATTTTACATCTTTAGAACACAGAATGAGTCAAGATAATGCATTTGGTTGGAAGGTACTTCACTCAAGGTCTAAAACCAAAACGAGACTCAAGTGAATAAGAAAGCAAGAAATAAAAGAGATAGTAAGAGAGACAGAGAGAGAGAGAGAGAAAGAGAGAGAAAGCCAGAGAGTCGGAAAGGGGGTGGGGGGGGGGGGGTGAACACGCAGTAAGAGTGCCCCCCCCCCCATGTCATCTCTTTCCCCATCTCCTTTATCTGTAGGTTTACCAACGTGAATACATGTGAAATAAATTTTCAGAAACAATTTTATCCCGTATCATGATAAGAAAAATAAATTAAACCAACACTATCATAATGCTATTTTTGAGCGAGTTTCTAATATCCAACAAAAGTAGGTTTAGACCAGTTCGAAAATCATCAATCATATGTTATAGTATCCCGCCATCCTCGTTTTACTACCACTGTGTATAAGCCAGTGTCAAGCATTTTACCCGGACCTTACAAGGCACACTTAGTTAATGGAACAATTGTAAACGAAATAATAATAACAATAGCTCACTAAATAAATAAAACTCCGAATATATTTGATCGATCTTGAAATTAGTGTAATCGATTAACAAAGTTTGATAGCTATTTTTAATTTATTTGTTATATTTTAGCACTATTTTTTCTATTACAAAACAAAAAAATATAAAATTCGATTCTGACTATTTTTATTAAATTAATAGTTTATTTTTTTGAAGTTAAAATACATAGAAACGTACCAAGTGCCTACTAAATATTACCTTTAATAGGTCACTTTTTTGCGTCAACTAACATTTTAAAAACAAATTATATTTACTTACGGTCTAAAATTCACCATTATCATCACTCTGGTTTTTCTGCAATACGCATAAATCTTTCGCCTTTTACTAAAGATTTCCGTGCAGAGGAACACATTGATGAGTCTATAAAGATTTTTCTCTGGCTCGCCTTAATTGGTGAGCCTTGCAATAACCATGTAATGAAAGAACAATACCAATCCAGACACTCCGATTTTTCTACTAAGAATTCATCGCCGATTCAGGTGGAATGACAAATGGTAAAAAACTGTAAGGACTGATTTATTTTCATTATTAAGCCTACAACATATTTATGTTGCGTGTATTTTAAGTGCATGTCAAACAACTTTTAATTTCATGGTAATATATGAATATTCTTTTTATGTGTGTGTGATTATGTATACTTTACTATGTTACCATGTCAAAATTTTTATGACTATGTTATTTTTTTAATTTTTATGTATCAGTCATAGGCCTTCCTAGGCCGGCCGGCCGTCTGATGATGTGGGTGTGATTTTTTTAAATAAAGAACTAAACTAAACTAAACTAAACTAAACCATATGATAAAATATTCACAAAAATATCCTTCTTCATATTTTTTGTTGGGGGGGGGGGGGGGACCCGCTTCTTTGCCATTCTGTTAAAGAACAAGAAAAGAGACAAAACATGGAAAAGAAGGTTTGAACTATGAAACTCTGGAAACTCTACTTCCTATGCCCTGAAAACTTTACTTCTATGTAAAGTAGCTGTTCCTGACACAGTTAGATGACATACAATGTTAGGCTCGACCCTATGGTATGGTGCCTGTCGAAGTGCCAAAATAAAGTTCGTGCCTTCACACTCCTCTTCATAACCCCACCCTCCCCTCACCCTTCACCCTCCCCTCACCATTCAACCTTCACCTTTCACCCTTCCCCAATGTGCGATGGGGGTGTGGAGGAATACTCACACGGTTTTCAAATCGACGAGTCCATCAAAAACTTCAGGATATAAGGTCCAAGGTTCTGTACTGAGCGAAGCCAATACACTAAAAAGATACATATTATAATGGGAAACAAAGGACAGTTGATCAATGTTCTTGGATAATACCGTGGTAACAAAATGTTGATACGATATAAAAGTGAACTTTATATTATTTCAAAAATGCAGTTTTGAAAACAGCGACGAGAGAACACCAGTTTCATGAAATTCACACTCCTCGCCCAGTTTATCTCTCTAGCTCTCTCTTTCTTTCTCTATCTCTCTCTCTCTCTCTCTTTCTTTCTCTCTCTCTCTCTCTCTCTCTCTCTCTACCTCTCTCTCCCCTCCTTATCCCCTCTTTTTCCATACAGTTGTCATTAATACATTTCATAGTTTTATCCTTTATATTAAATTTCTCATTTTCATTTGTCATTCTTTTCTTTCACTAATATACTTACATATCTTGAAGAATAGTCATATTATGAAAGGTTCCTGGTTCGATATATTTCAGTTCGTTGTTATCTATGTTCCTATACAACGGAAGAAGAAGAAGAAGGAGAAAAATTCAAATTTCGTCTTTAAAAAAAAGAATAAAAGTAAACATTATTGAAAGTCGGTTCATCGATGAACTAACAAAATTAAGCCTAAAGATATTGTATTACTATAGTAGTCAGTGGAGCTATAGAGTAAAAAAGGCTACGAATAATTCACAAATTGACATAATTGCTATACCGTATTAGATGTTTTACTATGTCGAAATCTATTGAAATATATTGTTAAATCGAAGAAGTGTATGTTATATCACAATGTGGTGAACGCCCTCTCGAGACAACAAACATAACGTGGGTATGGCAAGACGCTATAATGCTTTGTACACTACAAAAGGCACTCCACTCCAATCGTACATTTTTTTGGAATATCCATTGATCAGATACGTAGTAATGATTTTTAACATAACACAAAATGTTGAGTAAAGATTCACCCTTATACTCACACTCTAAGTAAGGTCTCTTCCAGTCCATAGAACAGAGATGAGTTGATCGACGTCAGATTATTTCGAGTTATTATCCTTCAAAATAATTCAATAAAAACAGCTCTTTAATCATAACTGCATAAATGTGATGATTGATAAAGCACACAGGAAATAAAGACAAAGAGGGATGAAAGAGGCCCAATATAAAAACGCTTTCTTTCAAGTTTCTTCCCATTTCTCGCTTATTTTCCCCCTTTCTCTTTTTTTATTTTCTTTCACCATGTAATGTTTCGTTATTCATTAGGAGCACTCGCCCAAATACACCCCCTCTTAATTCCTGCTTATAGCTACACCACTATCAGTTGGCTATCTACTGAACTCTATTTAGAAAGGATATCGCTATATTATTTTAACTTTGTGTTCCTGACATTAAAGGTATTACAAAGTTTTGGGAAATTTTGAAAAATGGGTGGATAGTGATTCTTTACAATTTTGATATATTTGGATGCCTCTGGGGATGAATTAAAAGGACTAGAAATTTTAGTCCCTAAAACACTTCTGCTTTCGAGAAAAATTGAATATAAAGATTTACCGGTGCTCCCGGTAAATTTTGAAAAATTTCAAATAGCTCCTACGGCCGTACAATGGTAGCTGCGACCATGAAAATCTCAGAATATGTAGTTGTGGTATATAATTTCCGAACGGGAATAGCTAATCGGTCGATTTTAGTCAAGAAACATTGTTTTACAGCTTAATTAATATTTGACCTCGAGAGGGAGCTATACAACTTAAAGTGTTTATTACTTACAATTTCATAACTTTAGAGTCGATTTCGACCGCGACAATGATCAGTGAATATTGTAGGATCGCATATGCTTCCAATATGTTCATTTGAACCAAATTCACAACTCCATACCAAAACTTTGTATTACCTTTAACGTCTGGTGTAGGCATTCAGTTTGAGGCTTTATTAATTATTGATTGATTTAAAGCCCCATCGCACTAGTTTGGCCAGGAGGGATTAGACCTCCCAGCATGGTCACTGACAGGTGGTTATCTCATCATCTAAGCTCTCAATTAACATAGGAAAAAGAGGATCATGGGGGACCAATGGTCACCGATTAGGCACAGTGTGCTATATAGAGGGCGCAAGTAGCTATAAATAGTGCAGTGGGCCTTTAATCAAAGAAGAAAAAAAAGACTTACAATCTCTCAAGAGAACCACCGAGGTCACGGAATGTACCAGGCCGGAAGTCAGTTATCCCATTGAACTCAAGATCTCTGAAATACAAAAGATGATGATGAAGTTAAATTGGAGTCGTCGTCGTGGTATAGTAGTTCATTCACTTGAATCTTATTCCAAGGGTCGAGGGTTCGAATCTCAGCCCGGCACTAACGATCTTTGACAAGAAGTTAATCTATATTTGCCACTCTTCACCCAGGTGCAAATGGGTACCTGACAATCGCTGGGGAAATAGTGATCGCAGGACCCCCGGAAGAACAGCATTGAATCTAATGAGGCTTCCATGGGTAAACAAAATTATTATAATCATTATTATTATTATTATTATTATCGGATTCATTGGATTCAGCGAGCACTAAATGACCCGCCCCCTTTCTTAATAAAGGTCCTCTCTACATAACGCAGTGACTCTCCGCACTTTCCGACAGCGTCATGTCTAGGAGTTACCATGCATAATATAAATGCATAGATTGACAGTATCATATAAACTTTTGAAAGTCTCTCTAATATTTATTAAACCAGGTTCTAGCGCCTAGGTAGATACCCACCATCATTTAGGCCTTAAAAATGTTGTATTGCCCTTTAGGTGCCAGAACCTGGGTCGGTCGGTCGGTCGGTCGGTCGGATATAAAATATAAAAAAAAGGTAACTTTTTTCTTTCTTTCTCAAAGCAGCGACCGACGCCCAAATCTCGCTGGTTTCTAGCTGTGCAGTTCATGGTATATTATACACTTACACGAGGCCCGGGTCTACCTGTTTACGCTAGCAGGATTTCGAAACTAGGGCAGAAGACGAGTGTGAATTTGGGAATAATGTTATGATTTATGCATTTATATCCCATTTATAAAAACAAACGAAATAAATAACTTTGTATTCATTAAACGCTTGTTTTTCTAAAAACTGTTAAAACAAATTTTAAAAAAAAACTCTATTATAAAGCCAACCGTAGATTTTAAGATTTGTGGGTCGGTCGCAAAAGGCAATACAACATCCTTCTTTTTGTTAACGCCGTACAATTATGTATATCGACCGATGTTCCATAAACACTAGTAAAGGAAACAAAGTTGTGTCTAGTATGAACGTAAGGTGGTGCTCTTTCAATAATATTTCAGGATACCACAAACTCAACATGGCTGTCTCAATACTTACATAAAGAATAGATTGGTCAGCCCTTCGAAACAGCCTTCCTCAAACCTCGTCAGAAAGTTGAACTCTGCAAAGCTTCATTAATCAAATGAAGAAAATCAGAAACAAAAGACATAAAAGGAAGCACCGTGTATTATATTGCAAAAGTAATCTTTCCGTCATAAGGTGGTTGTAAAGTCGGATCCAGGATTCTCTAAAGAGGAATGGGCCGATAGTTCTGATAGATCTCTGACAAGAAAACACAAAGGGGTAAAAAGTCCCTGAAAAGCAAACAGAAATACAGAAAGAAAGGTCCTCCGATTCTTTAAAATCTATTACCATGCGTAAGACGACCTCTCCGAAGTTCAAAGGCCTTTTTATCATGACTCTCATGTTGTTGTTTTTTCTTCTTCTTCTTCCCCCCCCCCCCCCCCCCCTCTAAACTACAATGGTTCTCTAAATGCAATGGCGGGGTTCTATAGGCCACTGGATTCAGGCAACGCCCCTGAGCAACAATTATCAACAGTGTCAGTACTTACAGTAGATACAGGTTGTAGAGTCCACGAAACGTCCCCTTCTCCAAATACCTCAACTTGTTATTTCGAATATACCTGAAATAAAATGATAAAGTATATTGCAGTTTGCTATCTAATTGTTAACAACAATACAAGAATGGGTGAAACTATTATGACTGGTCTTTTGAAACCTCTCCTGACTTGGCTCTTGCTGAAACAAGTTTACCACATAACTCTGTAAAACGAGAGGGAAATTGACAGGAAATAATAAGGAAGATATTAATGTACACGAAGTAATGTAGTGTGTTCATCTATTCACGACACGATAAAAACTCAAAATCGTTCAAACAGATTGATTTTGAGCATCTATCCACATGCGAAACATAAAACAGCCAGGTATATTATACCCCAAAAGTCTACCAACAGAAGGTACTACAAAATGAATATTGTAACTAAAGTTTGGAAAATGTGAATATAGCGACCACGAAACAATAAATGCCACATTGAAAAGGAAGAGTCAATGAACGATTTTCTTCTATTTATGTTTGATATAATTGCAATTTTGTTTATATTGAAAATGATCCTTCATATTTCTATTTTAAACAATAACTACTGATAACTTTTAATAGTTCGATATTTTTTTAATTGAGAAAGTTTTACTTACAATTTATAGAGGCGAGGCGCACCATCGAAGACACCAGAAGGGAGATGATCGATATCACAGTTAGTCAGGTCACTACCAGAGAGAGGGAGAGAGAAGAAGGAGAGAGAGAGAGAGAACAAAAGGAGAGAGAGGGAGAGAACAAAGGAGAGAAAGAGAGAGAGAAAGCGAGAGAGGGGAGAGAGAGAGAGAGAGAGAAGAGAGAGAGAAAAAAGAGAGAGAGAAGGAGAGAGAGAAAAAGAGAGAGAGAAGAAGGGAGGGAAAGGAGGGAGAGAGGGGATCGAATGGATAGGAGAAAAGGGAGACACATAAGAGAGAACAAAGGAAACGAAATAAAATAACAGTTTAAAAGATATGCCAATGATTAAGAAATTTACATTTTAACATATATTACAGCCTATTTGAATTATGAATGGCCAAACAAATCTATCAAGTCAACGATATCATGCAATACAAAATAAGCTATCGTTTTCAAAGACTCTTCAAATTGCCCTGGATCAATGTTCATTTCCTTACTTGTACCTTTCTTCCTCTTCCTCTTTCTCCTTCTCTTTCTCTCTCCTTTTCTCTTTATCTTTCTCCGTCTCTTTCTCTTTCTCGCTTTTTCTCTTTATCTTTCTCTTTCTGGTTCTCTTTCTTTTCCCCTATCTCTTTCTCTACACTTTTTCTTTCTCTCTCCTTTTCTCTCTGTCTTTCACTTTCTCTCTCTCTCTCTCTCTCTCTCTCTCTCTCTCTCTCTCTCTCTCTTTCTTTTCCCTTTCTCCATCTCTTTCTCTTTGCCCAATAATAATATTCAATGACATACTCACAGGGTATTCAGATTTGTAGCACCGATGAAGCTTCCTGGATCGAGATGCATTAAGGGAATGTCATGGAGGTCTCTACAAGTATTGATAATCAAAATTAAGGGAAAACAAGATAATAATGCAGTAAGTAAATACATTTGCTGTTGGCCTTCGCAAATCTTTGATGAACCATAATTATCTTTTAATCATTAACATAATTTATGGGGGATCTCAGGCGCGTACACAGGGGGGGGGGGTTAACCCCCCCCCCCTTGGTATTTTTGTGTGTGTAAACCCCCCCCCCCTAAACCACCCTAACCCCCCCCCCCCCCCCCCTTTGGATTTTTTTTTTTCATTAAAAAAAAAAAAAATATATATATATATATATATTCCCATGTCAAATGTTCAAATTTCGAGACCAAAAAAAAAAAAAAGTGACCTCTTATCCCCCCCCCCCCCTCCCCCCGCTTATTCAGCGGCTGGCTGAGTCGTTGCGAAATTTTCGGCCCGATTTATAAATGTTAAACCCCCCCCCCCCCCCCCCCCCCCCCCGCCTTGAAAAAATCCTGCGTACGCGCCTGGGGTGTCTCATTAGTACGCTTCGTCTAAAATTATTAGGGAATTATTCCCCCCTCCAGTTAAACTAAAATGTTCGCCTGTATAACGCTTTTCCTAAAAACATGTATTCCACTCTACTTGTTTGCTTTGTTTAACCCAGTCCTTTCATTGAAATTGTAGTTTGACGACTTTATCGATTTCTTAATAAGGAGGGGGCATCACATCACAGCACCCCTTCCCATATTGTGCCAACCCTAAGCTACCAAGCATAGGTTAAAGTATTGATGGGTTACTGGCACAATACGTGGGCTACGATCTTACTAACGTTGGATGAATTAACAGGATGCCCGTACAAGGGTGTGAGTGTGGGGTGATCATATCGTCTATCTTTTCACGTTTCTTCTAATCTTTCCCTTTCACATCTTTATTAAAACTCTTTATTTTTCCCTTTTTATGTTGCATGTTTAGGGAAGAGATACATGTATGAAAGAGGACCCTATCGATTTTCCCCGTCCATATCCCTCCATCCCTTTCTTTCTCTTTAAAATTGACCAATTTCTTCTTTTTTTTCGCCGTGCGAGGGAAAGACACGCCCCCCCCCCCCCCCCCATCAAGCGCGTAGCCAGGATTTCATTTTAGGGGGGGCGGTAGTGAGCACGCGAAGCGTGCGAATCACTTACAGAGCGCGCGTAGCGCGCTCCCTAGGGGGAGGGTGCAGGGAGGGGGGAGTTTTCATCAAATTATAAGAGAATGAAGACGATTCGTTGGACTCTTAATCCTTATCTAAATTCAGTTTCTGTTGACGTTTCATTAGAGAAAGAAGACGATTCGCTGTACCGTGACGGTCCTCGACTCTTAATCTTTGTTTGCATCAAGTTCCCCTGCCTCCGCGCGTAGCGCGGAAGCTCTGAAGTTTTATTAGACCATTAAAGAAAGAAGAAGATTCGTTGTACCATTCTCGATCGACTCTTAATCCTTGTCTGAATTCAGTTTCCCCCCTCCCCTCCCGCGGAAGCTTTGACGTTTCATAAATTATTAGAGAAAGAAGACGATTTGTTGTACCGTTCTCGATTCTTAATCCTTATCTGAATTCAGTTCCCCCCTCCCCTCCCGCGCGAAGCGCGGAAGCTTAGACGTTTCATTAAATTATTAGAGAAAGAAGACGATTCGTTGTACCGTTCTCGACTCTTTATCCTTTTTCTTCCTACGTCCTCTTCCTTTCTTCTTTTTTTCTCTCTTTTTTTTTTTTTTTTTTGGCCAGCGTTTTTGGGGGGCGACCGCCCCCACCGCCCCCCTGGCTACGCGCCTGCCCCCCCATCCATGCGACTGCGCCTCTTAAACGAGCTATACTCACATGACGACGGTTCTTAGTGTGGTGTTCATTGCATACTCCTGGTTCCAAGTCGTAGTCCCATTCGTCCAGTATGGGAGGTAGCCAGGTGCAGCGCAGAAGGCTCGACTTGGCCCGAAGAAATGGGCATAGGGGCCCTCTCCACATATGCATCCATCGGGACACTTTGAATCTAGGGATCAAAGGAAAATTTGATTTTGATTTTGATTTGATTTTTTTTTTTAATTCGGAAATAAATGAGATAAGATTTAGACAAAGAACTAGTTATTTAGCAAATTTCCGTTTCATAATCATTTCTTTATAATCATTAACGAAATGGGAGAGAACTGACGTTTAAAAAAAAAATCAAAATCGAAATTGTCATCACAATAACGTTATTTGATAAACACGTGAACATCGTCAATTCGTCAATATGACAATTTGGTAGCATTATTATAGACGGCTGGTTCCAACTTGAATGGACCATTCAAAAAAATTACTACAGTTTCTGCTCTGCACGCGTATATTATTCAAAGCAGCGTATACTATAAACATCAGAATTGTTTTCATATTATGAAATCATAGGGCCTGTAGGGGAAACAGTCCACTGGTCAAACGAAAATCATAGCACTAACAGAAAGCTTATTGGACTATCAAGACGTGCCTTTTACCCTACCCCCTCCCCCCCCCCCCAATACAAAGTATAACAAGTATTAAAAACGCGAGTTTCATACCTATACAGTTCTCGTCATCCTGATGAGGGCAGTCAAACACTCCATCACAAAGGAATTTAGAATGAATGCATATATCAGTCCCTTCACACTGAGAGGTATCGGGAGGACAATCTGCATTTAAACAAAGGGAAAAGTCGATAAAGGAGACAGACGAAGTTAGAGACAGAGACAGAGAGACACACTATGAACATGACTGACAAAGAAAGCGGACAAAATATACAGTTCCTCATGTAGACAAAGGAACATCTCTTCACTGCTATTATGTAAAAATGTGTAGAACAGGTGTCACATGCATATTCACCTGTTCTACACATTTGTACATAATAGCAGTGAAGGGATGTTCCTTTGTCTACCCGAGGAACTGTATATTTTGTCCGCTTTCTTTGTCCGTCGTGTTCATAGTGACAGAGAGAGGGAGAGGGAGAGGGAGAGGGAGAGAGATTATCATATATTATAAAAATGATTGACTGACCTTTATTTGACAAAAAATAAGTAAATTTATATTATTGAATGTACAAGTGATGTATACCTTGACATGATAACCCATGTAAGCTCTTACACCCTCTTTCTCGTCTTCCTTCCCTTCCTCCCTTCCTCACTCCCTGCCTCCCTATCTCCCTCCCCCCCCCCCTCTCTCCCTCTCTCTCTCTCTCTCTCTCTACTCTCTCTCTCTCTCTCTCTCTCTCTCCCACCCCCTCCATCGCTCTCTCCTCTCCATCGCTCTCTCCTCTTCACCTCTCTCTTCCTCCCTTTCATCCTCACCTCCACAGCCGATTTCATCCGAGTGGTCATGACAGTCTACGATCCTATCACATCGTGCGATGGCGTGGATGTACTGCACCCCCGAAGCACATGCAAAGGTCTCAACATCGGGTTCGTAACAACCCAGGTCGAAAGTATCTAAAATACGTGGAAATAGCAAGAGATTTTCCTTATTTAGGACCTTAACAAATAAAATATCAGCATTTAACGACTTCACCAGTTTCTAAGTGTTTCAAATTGGTTTTATTTGTTTCTATCTTTTTTTTTTACCCTTTCGAAATAAAATCATCGTTGTGTGTGCTTTTTTTAATAAATATATTATTAAAGCAATTATTGTTTTCTCTTAAAAACAGGAATAAAAGATGGAAAATCCACTGTAAAGGGTTCGTAATGTCATCAGAATATTTTCCTTTAAAAAGAGCAACGCATTGAACAATTTACGTTCAAGAGTCTTTAAGTATTCTAACAATTTGTTATGTTTCAATTTTTGTTTGTTTGTTTTTCTTTAAAATTTTGAGGGAAATTTGTGTTTATAAAAGGGTACAATTTTCAGATAAATTAGCAAAAGATATATTTAGAAATAAAAGAGAGAAAGATTTACTAGGAGAATGGAAAATATTTTTTAATTTGCTTACTGTTGATTTCACGTGTGCGTATATCAAAGGAGAAGCCATCGAAATTTTCAAACTCGTCACTGCAAAAGTCCAACATCACATTTCCCTCCGGGAGCAATATTGACGTCACATTACCACTGACCAATGGGAAGCGAGTAACATTAATGCCGTGTGCAGTCTGGTGGGTGTGTTCAAGAGTCAGGTAATCCCATGTTCTTTCTATTTCGAGGGCGTTTACGCGAATGAGGGCCTAGGGTTAAACCATAATGGTTAATCAAAATTGCCTTAGCATGTGTACGGATGAGAGGGTATATTGTTACTGCATTTCTGTTTACTTTTCTATGATGAAATGAACTAATTTTTTAAAGAATATTCTGCTAGTATCTTAAAGATATTTAGATTTACTTTTCAAAGATCATGAGTAATGACCAAGAACATTATGGAGGCATCGATGGAAGTTAATGAGTTTTCCGAGGTACGACAGCGACAACAATGACCACAACAATATAGAGAACTGTTTATCTATAAATGAAAACAATTAAACAAAGATTGTAGGCAAACTTGGCATTTTCCCTTTGAGTGCGTTTACGACAGAAATATAGAAATAGTCATGTTTCTCTAATACAGTAAGCATTGCTTTTTGGAGGGCCAGAAAACAATTATCTTACTCCAAGGTGAAATAGTACTTATTACAGCTGATATTTGGTATTCATTAACGATTAACCTTGGTGAGGGGTGAAGTAAGGAAGAAATATTATATATTATCATGGCGCCTGGTCGTACTAACTATTATTGAACTGAATCCCTTCTATCAATTCGTGAGTTATAGAGAATTTAACAAAATATTTTTTCAATGTTTCTCTTGTTGTTGTTATCATTGTTGAAAATACCAACTAATTAAGTGAAGTACATCGTTTTTGTAATGTCCTTACCTGCACACCTTCGGGGATCTCCATATACCATTGCCGTCGGGTAGCCGGTGGGTAGGGGTCGGGATAGTCTGGTGAGACCAGTGTTGAAAAGTAGTCCTTGAAATCCTCGCACTCACTATGTTCAGCGTGGACTAGTCCTAAAAGCAGTGACGCCAGGGACGAATTTATAGTAAACTTTTGATAAATCAACTCAAGGGAAGTGTTAGTACCTTAAATTAAAAAAAAAATCTAATCACGAATCTTTCAATTAGAATAGAAATAGAATAGAAAGACTCGTACGAAGGACACTACTTATGAGAAAGATTCAAAATGTTCAAATTTTGTATTCTAGTTATTTGATTATCTGATGTATTCAATCCCCCTTTGGTATTTTTATGTGTGTAAACCCCCCTAAAAAATAACTACCCCCCCCCCCCCCTTTGGGTTTTATTTATTGATTGATTGATTTATTTTTAATTATAAAAAAAAAAAAAAAAAAAAAAAGAATTATGCACATGGCTGACCTAAAAAAGGTGACCTTACCCCCCCCCAAAAAAAAGTGTCTTCTTATCCCCCCCCCCCCCCCCCCCCCCCCCCCGCTTATTCAGCGGCTGGCTTAGTCGTTGCGATTTTTTTTTGGACTCCAAAAAAAAAGAAAAAAAAAAGTGTCCGCTTACCAAAAGTGTTCCGAACCACACGCAGCTCATCTTTTGGTATTATTTTCTGTACCCTCGATCTCTCACTTCTTTTTGTCATTGTCTACTCTTTGTATTATGACAGTGTTCTTCTATCTTTGTCGTGTATAGTATTGTCTTGTCCCTTTCTCGTCTCTGTTGGCATTCCCCTCCCCCCCTATTTTGTAGTTTTTGTTTTGTAGTTACAGATAAGTTAATTTAATTACTCATTATTCCTAAGTTTCATTTGAGGTGTTCACATTTTGTACAAGCATTGCTTTTTAGTGGACCCCTCTGTTTCCAACATGTATTTCTTAAATTTGTTTTAAATGCTTATAATTGATTTGTAATGTTTTGTTGGAAACATGAATAACTTTGAAATCTTGAAATCTTGAAATGAACAAACTCGTTCGGAAAAACGAACACGCGTTCGGAAATAGGAGTGCCCCCCCCCTCCAAAAGGTTAAACTGGACAACACATGGTAACATTCATTTAGGCTATATTTTCCTGATTAAAGGTATAAAGTAAAAATTATAGAAAATTGTTTTTAATTGACTTTAAGTGATTTCATCAAAGATGGTTAAAATGTTATAGTATATTTTTTTTCATACAATCTGGTCAGAAAATATTTCATCATTTTCGCGATTAGATATTATGTAGATATTCCCATCTAAATATCGTTTTAAATAACATACAAAATATTAAGGACCTAGAATCTTAGATAAAAGAAAGAATTGATTAATGAACTTATTGATAAAAAACCAATAACATATCAATGAATAAATAATCAACTAATAAAAAAAATAAAACAAACAAATAAATAACTGAATAACTACATACATAAATATATGGATAGATTAATAAATACCTAGATAGATAGATAAATAAATGAATAAATACAAAGAATGAATAGACCACACAAACAAAAATCAGATGAATTATTAGATAGATAGATAGAAAGTTAAACAGACAGATAGATATATACATCAATAAATAAATTAATACCCAATTTGGAAGAAATCGCCTACTCAAACATGCCCGCATGCCTTTATATTTGATAATATCCCACATTTCCGGAAGAGAACATGACATTTTAAACAGACAAAATCCCCGTTTTGATGATTTTTGCCACAATTCGGAAGTTTAGGAAATGATTTATAACACTGAAAACATATTTTTTCAGACTTACCCACTGACATTACCATAAAGACAAAACTTGCCAGTCCTCGCAACGACTTTGCCATGTTGTATCGGCATTCCAAACCCGAACTATAATGAATCAGTAATATTGTTACTCTCCTCTCCGTCTTCATGGGGAAAACTAACAAAAGCACTCGATTTTCACGATTTTTAACGACTTCCGACCCCCTTGATATCTTCATAAAAAATAATTGGATATATATTCTGCTCTTGCCCACATTAAAACAACAACACAACGTCCAATCATCTTGCCGCAATTCTATCCAAAGACGAAATTATTCTTACGGCAAAAACTAATGAAAAACAGGACTTCGGAAACGAACAAAGGCATCATCTCATTTTCTTTAAGACCGCCGAAAGCTCCTGCGACATCCTTAAGTAGCAGAGCTTAATAAACTAAGGTAATAATTATTTTGTAATTTCATGAAAACTCATCTTATATACATAAGAACTCTTGAGGTCGGAAATAAGAAACAACAAACGTATTTGATATTCTTGCATTTTGTTTTATTACTCTATATTATCAATCATTATAGTTGGTGGAGTATCGTTCACCCCTAAGCTTGTATGAGGTAATTAGTATAGGATGATCTAGCGACTAATTTTTTTCTCCATTAGTATTTGTGCCTTCAATTTCTCGTCATTTTATTCGTTTCTTTAAAGGTAAAATACCAGTTTTGGAAACGCCCCCCTCTCAAAAAATGAAATGGAAGCTCTTATTACCAATCATGTGAAAGAATATGTTTTGACTAATACGTGATGATACAAATTTTGCCGGGAAACCGCCTAATTGATATATTTGGTAAATTATTGTATCTATCCGGACTGGAGAGATATAGCGTAGTCCCATATACATCTTTCTGTGTTACAGTGCTTGTAACTTTACCAAGACTGGGCCAATTTCTTGTCATTTTGATGATTCCACAACCTTGTAGTGCACACTAATACTTACATGCTAGATGATCAACTTGTTCTGATCGATTCCACAACGTTTCTTTCACAATGCAATCGCATGACCAGAACTGGTCTATACCTTTAATATTGATAAACTGACAGCTAATTGTACATGTAGGGCACCACCTTGACCTGTACATGGTCCAAGCTTATGCATATTAATAAGATCTTAGTATGAGATAAGATAAGATGAAATCCGTAAAAATAAGAACATTACTTTGAAAACCAAAATCCATGTATTAAACATAATTATACCTCGTCAGTTCTTTTCTAAGGGTGTGAGTGTTGGACAATAGTATTAACAAAGAGTTCGAAAGAATATATATTAGAGGCTACAGAGACCCGGTTCTTGAGAAAGATTATGAATATAATTATCATGGACAGAAAATTATAACAAATGAAGAAGTTTCAGAAATGCAAGAGTAAGGCCATCACTTTTTGAAACAATAAGAAAGAGGCAAATACAATTTGTTGGCCACATAATAATAGACATGCAGGATAATAACAATTATTAAAAAAAATATTAACAGGGAAGTTTGCTGTATACAGAGGAGCAGGGGAAGGTAACGCCAACGCCCCGATATTTGCAAAGCCTGAATCAGGCTGAAGAGGGGTCCTGGATATTTAACAACATCACATCCCATCTATACGTCCCCTAGCGACGGCAGGCCCCTCCCCCCCCCTCTCTCTCTCTCTCTCTCTCTCTCTCTCTCCCTCCCCCTTTTCTCTCTCTCTCTCTCTCTCTCCCACTCTCTCTCTCTTTCTCTCTCTCTCTCCCCTAGCTCTCTCTCCCCCTCTCTCCCTATCTCTCTCTCTCTCTCTCTCCCCCTTTCTTTCTCTCTCTCTAGCTCTCTCTCTCTAGCTCTCTCTAGCTAACGAAGAAGTGGGCTGATGTTGCCGACAAAGTGCACTCGTGATAATAAAACAACACCGCTTTGATATCGGTACTTATCTTAGAATATAAGAAGGGAATTACGGCTTATCTTTGAAACATCCTTAATGAAGTGTTCTGTACTACGCAGTCGCACTTGTCTCTGTACTGTACTATACCGCTCTTAAATATTCCAATTATCTCTGCATGAATATTGCCCACTTGAATGCATTTCATAATTGAAAATGTTATAAAACAAAATGGGGTCAGCATTGATAGGTTTGTATGAGTGCATGTTGCTTTTTCTTCGGGACTAATTCGTTGCCTGAAGTGGAGACCGGTGATCGATATAAGAGCAGCTCTTACTAAATGAACAGGAAAAAAATTCTTAACCGCTTGAATCTGAACTGTTATGGTTTGATAATCATGAATACTATTAATTATTAGTTATACGTTATTTCATTAGTTAGGCAATCTAAATTTTAAAAAATACATCTGTAGTTGTTGCCTTGTATCACGGGTAACATTGATGATAACAGCAATAATGATGTAATTGATTTTGAAATTTCACAACGAGGGAAGGAGTGCTGCCCCCTCAAATAACTTAAAGGGATCCGGTAACTTTGTCTCAGATTCTGAAACAAAATTCTGGATTTAGCTCATGATGCAATGATAATTATAAACCTTTAGGTCAGTCAGGAACCCCATGACTTTTACAAGCCGATCGCCTGTCTGATTATCAAGATATTTATGATTGGAATTACAAATTTTGAAAACCGTTCGCCTGACGGTTTTCATAACACTACATTCTATTGGGGAAAACGAGTATGGTAAAACCGGTCACTCAAAAAAATTACGTTTTTGAGGCACTTCTTGATCATTTTGAAGCGCTATTTTTTTAGGGCTTCAATATTACACCATATCACAGATACTTATAACACGTAGGGCCTTGTATCTTAACATTGTTAAACGATCCCTTTAATACGCAACCTCGCACCCCCCCCCCCCCCCCTCCTCGCTGCCCCCTCACTCAGAGGCAAAGGCCGTCTAGTAGAATACCCCTAATACTCTAATACTCATTTCTTGCTTTTTGTTTGCTTGCTTTTTTGTTTCACCATACATCCAAAAGGATGTGTAAATGTGTTTTATTGATTATTCAAAGGTTTTTGATAAAGTAAAACATTTAGAACTTTTTGAAGAGATGAAAAAGCTTGATATAATTTATATAGGAGAGATCTAAGACTGCTACAAAGTCTATATTGGAATCAGTTTGCATATACACCAGGGTAGAAGGAGAGTGTAGTGAATATATTAACATCAGACGGGGAGTCAGACAGGGTTGTGTTATGTCGCCGGACCTGTTCAATATGTATAATGAAATCATTCTAAGAGAATTGGAAGATGAAAATGGGATACAAGTGGGTGGCCATTCAATCACAAATATTAGATATGCTGATGACACTGTTTTATTTTCTGAATCAGAGAAAGATCTCCAGAGACTCCTGAATGTAGCTGTAAAAGAAAGTGAGAGAATGGGACTAGAGATCAACTATACCAAGACAAAGTGCCTGGTGGTCTCCAAGAAGAGCAGTCCAAAATGTAACTTGAAATTGAAAGAACAGATTATTACACAAGTCTCCTCATTTAACTACCTCGGCAGCATGATCACCGAGGATGCCAGATGTGAGACAGAGATCAAGAGAAGGACAGCTATCGCTAAATCTGCATTTTTAAAGCTAGGCAAAATTCTGATAAATCGAACAATGAGTATGAGGACCAAAATAAGAGTATCGAATTGCATCTACCCAGTACTTATGTATGGTAGTGAAACGTGGACTTTAGCCTCTGATACTAAAAAGCGTTTGGAAAGTTGCGAAATGTGGTTTTTAAGAAGAATGATGAAAATCCCCTGGACTGACAAAGTTAGTAATGAGGAAGTTCTTACACGAGCTGGAGTGCAAAGGAAAATGATACGTGAGATGTTGATTAGGCAGTTGAAGTTGATGGGTCACATTACACGTTAAGAAGGCCTAGAGAATCTTGCTTTGAGAGGGAAAATTGTGGGAAGAAGGAGTAGGGGAAGAAGGAGGATACTTTGGATGGACAGTCTGCAGAAATTATTGGAAGAGAGAGGAGTGAAAGAACTGGGAGTGGTAAGGAACCGAGGGTTGTGGAACAGCATGATCGCCAAAGTCAAACGATATGGCACAGAGAGAGAGGGAGATACATGGGTGTCGATACTTACGTAATACCTATTCATCAGGGGGGATGAATGAATAGATCATCCCCCCCCCCCCCCCTGATGAATAGGTATCAGTTACGGATCGACACCCATGCCTGCTCCTTTTTATCTTGTTCTTAATCAGTATCCTGAACATTTCATAATGACATTTTCTTAAAGAGCGAATTCATACAAAAAAGGGTTTTCCCCTGTGGCAAACCCGGATCAGTTAGCCTTTACACACGGGGGTTTTAAAGCTGGATTCGTTTGCGTGTGCACCAGTCGCATACAATGCAAGTTATAAGATCCTGGGTTAGCGCCTATTGCGGCTTATCTGGACAGGTGTACGAAGGCGGTGATTTTGGAAGAACTTTGAACATCCTTATTAACTCTGTTGACATTTGTTACCATAAATGGTAAAATAATCACGGCGACAACAATAGGGCGTTTTTTCTTAGTCAGGGTTAGCTACAGGAGTACGAAACACAATGACGACACACAAGCACTACTGAAATTGAAAAGAGTCCCCAACTATTGTGAAACTAATTTTGAAGTGCACTGGAGCCTGCGATGAGTAAGTTCTCCCAATCATTTAGTGTGCTGTGTATTTTATTGTGATGAATATATTGCGTGCGGAATGCATACACAGACAAACTGAACAGTGGCTGACGAATGTACATTTGCTTTCCAGTTGTATTTAGCAAAGAAACGGAAGTGGTAGGATTTTATTGTTAGGACAGTTTTATATATGGACTCTGTACATGGACATCCTTGATTGAAGTTAGTTTCAAGAAGAGCAAGAATGGATGCTACGCTAAGTCTAGGAAGTGAGTAGTTTTGAAAGTATTATAATGCTAATAGTTGATCTCTTATTAATATATGTAACTCATTGACAACTTGTTGCAAATATGTTTATGTGTAATTGCTGTTTTATATTTTGTGGGGGAAATGAATGCATTCATTAAAGTTTGATGATTGTTAGAGTTGATTACCTTAAGGCTGAGCCCTGCATGAGGATTGTGGCCGGCAGCAGGGTACTATAGTTTGATAAGTCCATGAATGCTGGCAGTATTTACCAGGTATACTCCACTCCTAGTGCATGGACCAACATGTATGGTGTACAAGGTTATCCAGAAAAACATGGAAATTCCATTAATTGTAAATGTATTATGGTGAATTTCACAACTACTGTAAGAACAATGACATTTCTTCATTAATACTTCTTGATGTCCTCTCACTGTATAATTATTACATTTATAATAAAAACATGATACAGCTCTGTGTTTAAAAGGCTGACTGAAATGAAGCTGAATTTTTTGACCAAACTGTGTACTAAAATAAAATAAAATCAAAATAGATTTTTCAAACCTCTTGCTCAATACTGGTATATTTGTGATATGTGCTGTGCAGGAGGTGAGTTGGCTCAGTCGGTAAAGCGTCTGCCTGTCCTACCAATAATCCCGGGTTCGAATCTCACCCAGACGGAAGACTGAAGCCTGCATGTGTGTTAACGTGCCCCTCCCCTTGTTTCATAGACGCAGGCTTAAGTGGAAAACACTCCGTCCCTCGGAAAGGACGTTAAATGGAGGCCCCGTGTACCGTGTACAGTAGAGTCACCACCCTTGCACGTTAAGAACCCACTGCACTATTCGTATAAGAGTACCCCGGTATAGTGGTCCACCTGCACACCCCAATAAGGCCGAGTATATGGCATCTGCAAGAATCTTCAGTATTGAAGGAGGCAGAATATCTTGAAGAAGAAGAAAAGAATATGTTATTACATCACATGTCATTCTTTAATTGCATAGATCTGCATAAATTCATAACAGGCCCTACATATTTATTTACATGCATACCATCTGGCAACAGGGGGCCTGATGGTATACAATATAAATTTACCTGGGCTGATTTAATATTTTATTGTCAATAAAATTGTGAGGTACGTAGAACATATTCAGATGTTGCTCTTTTAATGGCCTTTTTAAAAGGCACAAAGTTCAAGAGCTGGTATATTTAATCATGATAAGTCTACTTCTTGTACTTGCATGTGAAACTGAAACTAACCATTTGTCAAAACTGACCAGGAAAAATGCATCCAAATTGTATTTGTGGCATCCCGGAAATAAATTTATTGAGATTCAGTCAGGAAATGCTACACTTTTAGATTTTGTCTGTTAAGAGGCTAAAGGGCTTTAACTCTGTGCAAAGTATATCATGAATAATGCCCTTCTAATACCAAACAGACAATTATGTACTTGAAAGACACACATTTTAATTGAACAATTCTAGGTCATATATATTTACACATGATGTACGTGTACATTGTAGGCCACATACATACTTTGGGTGTTATTTTATCCTAGAGAATATCTAAGTGTGCAATCATACTGGCCAAGTTGCAAGGTTGCTGGTTCCAAACAATAGGGACTTTTAGATTTGCGTGGACTGATACGTGTGACGTCCATTCAAGGCAGTGCATTAAAAGGACGTCTATCGTAGCAATCCCCATTGTCTTTGTGCGAATCTAAAAGTCCCTACTGTTGTGCTAAACAATAGCGTGGTAACCACACCAGTGCCCTACACTGAATTTGCCCTGCTCCAGCTAGGCCGTTGCTTGAATGATTTTGCTGTGAACCTTATGCACAGGCTCTTGTTGTTTAGAACCAGTAACCTGGACGATGAGCGAATATGACTTTAGCCCTTCGGTACTCTATCTACTGTATAGGGTTAGTACTTACAGTAAGTTTGTATTTGGTCCTGGGTGGAAAGTTGGTACCGGTATTTGCATTGTGAATTTACTCAGAAACTGACCACATATGGTAGCTATTTTACAGAAGCATGTATTGTATGTACAATCCTGTACATGTACATGTGTACATTTAAGGCTGGCGCTAATAGTATTACATGTAATTATAATTGTGATCTACATTTTAAGTCAGCCGTAGGAATGTATACATGTAGATCATAATAATGATGATGATAATGATTTCTATTTCTTGACATCCTTTTACAAAATGTTTACCGGGTATCCGAAACGGAGATGCTACAAGTGTATATATTTATATGGAAATCTGAACAAAATTATTCAGGTACCGGTAGTCAAAGGGTAGAAAAAGTTGATTAAGCTTTCTGTATTATTCCTTTACAATAAGAAGAATGTAAATTCTCCATTTTGTACTGTATTTTTAAAGGACCTGGCATAAAATAACTAGGTATACACATGGTATTACTGGCACATACGTGTAAATGTATAGCACTAATGGTAATTTTGATGGAGAATTGAAAACTTTAGTAAATTTGAGTGAAATATCTTCTTTAAAACCATGACTCCTAGTAATTATGATTAGACCCCCTTTTGTTATACCGGTAATCTCTATTTTGTACAACATATGATATATATGAGTTTGAATGTATTATATCAATGTAAGTATTAACAAATTTACAATGATTTAAGGCAAATGAGAATTTGCATGCATTGGCCCGATAATGAATTATTAACGATTCTTGAGGATTTCATATGGGCCGTTAAATAGGACTAAGTGGTTTCAGTTCAGCATAGCTTATGATGTGCCATCCTAATTTATAGGACTCAAAGATGTACATGTAAGTTATACCTCTCTCTTTGTACACCATGCTCATACCCATGGAATTTATAACTTGTAACATGTTCTTTGGGAGTTTAACTACATGTTTATGTATACATATTGGTATAGGGATCCGGATGAATGATTTTGTTGATAGGCTTTTCATATACCTTTTAATGATTGACCTAAATTCAACAAAGTGTTTTAAATGGAAGAACAGTAGTGACATACCAGATAGCGATTTATAAAATATAAAAAGTGTGTTTATACTGTGACATAATGCCTGACTACACATTAACTCTTTTGAACAGGGATTAGGATTTGAATTGTTAGAGTCTGTATTCAAGAGTCCTATGTTACAATTTTGAAATTTTGGGGTTCAGACTCCAGAGACTCCAGATTTAGATTTTTTAAACCATGTGTTTAGCCCTGCATAATAATGTATATGATTTTTAGAAGCTACAAAAATGGTATGATGTTTATTTTGTTCACTCAGTTCCTCTTAATGTTTACCAACTATCCTGAGTCCTGACACTTGGTATTTACATCTAATTGTATTCTATAAATAGAGAGAGCACTATTTCTATTTAAAAAATCATATTAAATTGTCAATACATTAATTTAAAATGTAAAAGTACAAAGAGATGTCAATGAAAACTATGATGAAGGAAGTGGTTTTGGAGAATTATTTTGTTTGTTCCTTATTTTCCACATCTGTTGAAGGCAACATAAAACTCTCTGCAGCCATTTACAAACTCTTTATTTTCACTGTTTATTCAGCTATTGTAAGCTTTTCATATTCTTTTAGTGGTATGTGGTTATAAAGCCTCAGTTACTTTGTTATTGTTTATCCAATATTAGTTTTGTTTTTATGCTTCCATTCAGATATTTACAGCTCAAATGTGTGATTTTTTAGGTGGCATTTCATGCTAAACAGTACCATTAAGCCTCAGATAATTGTTTATCTTTAACCAACATTATTTTGTTATGACACTTCTATTTCAGATATTTACTTCCTGTCATTAGATTGAGCAAAACAACAGATGGAACAATAATTTCACCAAACTATGACGTCTGTTTCGGAGGTATAAAGTGCAATCATTAGCAGCATTCTACTTGGAAATTGTAAAGGAAAAGAGATCAAGATGAATGGTAAGTTTAGGGAAATTACGATATGGATAGTCTTGCAACCGCAGACCTAAATATGACAGTGTTTGTGGTTTGAAAGGCTACACAGAGTCTATTCCATATGACTTCTCGATTCCATGTCCTTGATGGTTCGGACCTTATTTTTAACAAAAACAATTTTTTTGGTCATGAGAGTTTTATCTTGGAAGTTTGATGACCAATACCGGAGGTTTGGTAATTGCCATAAAGTCCAATGCCAGAGATGGGAAGTATGGAATATTAAATTATCTAGGAAAAATGGTGAAATAAAGTGGTAAGTTGATATGCAAATTGACTCCAAATATCATCTTACAACTCTATAAGTATCCTTCCCAAAATAAGACATGTCAAATACATTTTTAATCCGCTTGTAAAAGGTAATTTTTTAAAGTGTCCTTTTTGAGGGAGTTTACTCTTGTGCAATGTAAGCAGAAGGGAAGTCTGTCTATCAGACTAAAAAGTTAGGTCAAGCCACACCCCCTTATACCTTGTCACTGGAGGAGTGTCCAATTCCTGACAACGGGTGTCAGATTTCATCTTTACTTCTCATCCTCCCTGTCTCTCTCTCTCTCTCTCTTTCTCTTTCTCTCTCTCTCTCTCTCTCTCTCTTCCTCTGTCCCTCTGTCAATGTCTCTCACTGTTAGAGTAAGAATTCAGACTCATTTTATTATTTTCCACCATGAACCTTCCTTCTATACCATGGAATGGACCTACATCCATGATTTTACCCAAGCCCACCTCAGCTTGAACTCACATATCCCTGGTTTGACCAAAGTCAGAAAAGTTACACAACACACAAAGTTTTCTTATGAGTGACAAAGTGTTTGTGAGGTGAAACCCTAGAAAAATAAAGTAAAATTGCATCCTTCTCGTGATGAAAGACGCCCTCTCTCCCTGTGGCCAGAATCAAAAGAGTGTAACTCAGGAACTAGAACTATTTTGTAGATACACTGTACACTGCATAAAAGTATTTTATATAGATCTCTCCTACAACAAGTCTGTAGTGTTTTAATACATGCTTAAATATACAGAGATCATGTAAATTATCAGGAAAATTAAAGCACTGGCAAAAGTTGTCATGTTACTTTGCCAGATTTCAGGCTTTCCTAGGGTACAAAATACATGTAGCTCATTGATGATGATTTTTAAGCCCTCTCATGAATTCTATCCCTCTCATGAATTCTATCAGGCATCCATGTTTTATGTTTTATGTATGCAACTTAGTGTGATCAGAACTTACTTTGGACAGCCAAAAATGCATTTTAGGTGAACTTGTCATTTCCTGTCGTAACACAAAGACTAAAGAGGTCTGAAATGCGAGACTGTAAGAGATGATCCCAGGCTCAGAGTTGATAACCAGATTGAAAACACAGTCACACTCTCTACATCAGCATCATCTCTCTCCCTCCTTCTCACTGTGAGCTGCACTTATGACTTGACTTTACAAGTAACTGCCATACCAAGAGGGCTATAGACTGGGAGATACCACCAGTGAGGAACCGTCTGCATTGCTGTATGGTTCTCAATGTGGCTTTGATGTCTTGTGATTATAGGTTGAGGAAATTTAAGGATAATTCACAATTTGTTCTTGTTGTTGGTAAGTATATTGTCCCCTTTCTCTCCTCCTCATCCTCTGTCTCTTGTTCGTATTAGTACATTGCACTACTTTGTCACTATATCCAGTGTTGCAGTAGTAGTAGGACATTCCTCATTTGAGGTACACCTCAGAGATCGAGATCAGCCCTACGGCCTACTCTAAACCTGTTAGTGCAGGAATGGTGTATAAGCATATTTTATGTTGTTGGTATTGTGGTCTAGGTTTTTATAAGATTTTGGGGGAAATCCAAATTGTTTTGTCCCATACTCTGTACATGTACATAACTGACAACACCAAAGATATAACTGATCATTGTGTTAATTTAATAGCCCTTCTAGAGCACAGAACAGCCAAAATTTAAAACAAAATGTTGTCAATCAATTTATGTTCAGAGCTCTACAATACTTGGTAATGAGTCCACCATGCAGACTCAGTTAGACTGCAGCGTCCGCAAATTCACACATATTTATGTCGGTGTTATGCATGGCATCTTCAGTCTATAACGCGAACTGCGAGAATACACCCCCAAATTTGCAATCTAATTCTGTGCAAAAAGGTTCACTTGAAACTGCAGGCAATGTTAGATTAAATTATGATAATATACACCATTAAAAAAAGGCAGATTTGGGTTCTAGAATATGGACCATGAAATTCAATTTGTCGATTTTCAAGACTTTTTTCTAGACTCAGCTGCAAGAGCAGTGGCCATGTCCAACATATACCGTGTGAGTCAAAAAAAAGTTTACACCTAGAAAATTGCCAATTGTTTTAAAAATCATCTATGAACAGTAAATTGTTATACATCTTATGAAAGAGTGTTTTATCCCAAATCATTTGGTATCATTTTTGTGTGGTATGTATTAACGCTTGGAAGAACAAGAGGCATTGTTTGCGAGAGTGCAAAAATCGACTTGCGCCAAAGTGATGCCTACTGCATTTATTATGTTCGGATTAGCGGAGTGAGAGAATGAATTGAATGTATCAAATGAAATGCATTGCATGTGCTTTTTCCACAAGCAAAGTCACCACGCACACACACACACACATGCGCACAAATTGATTTTTTATATTTGATATGTGTGGCATGATTAATTTTGTTAGGGATGTTATTTGGATCTGCAAAAACCGATTTAACACCCAAATCCCAATTGTTATACGTATTTAAACATCACATAAGCTACTTTGGCGCGAGTCGATTTTTGCACTCTCGCAAACAATGCCGCCTTTTTATCCAAGCGTTAAAACATACATGTACCACACAAAAATGATACTAAATGATTTGGGATAAAACACTTTTTCATAAGATATATAATAATTTACTGTTCATACATGTAGATGATTTTTAAAATAATTAGCAGTTTTCTAGGTGTAAGCTTTTTTTTGACTCGCACTGTACATATTTACATGTAGATGTAAACAATGAACAAAAGTACAAAAACTAAGAGGGGAACACATAGAGATATAAGAGAGATAAAACTAAACTAATCGCACTCTGCTGACTGTGACAACAAGCTACTGAACCAGAACTTCCACAGGTCTGAGGTGAACTTTGTACTCCTTTGTAATGGGTTAACCAAAATTTCAACAATCATATTTTCTGAAGTGTCAATTCTCTACATAAACTTGAAAATTAGAATTCTTACAACAGCTTGACATGCAGGTATATTCACATCTAACATGCATGAAAGACCAAATACCTTGGAATTTCGCTTCCACACTCTCCAAGGTTCTCGACCAAAGCATTGATAATCATTTCCTTCATCTGTAGAAACTTCACTCTTTTCTCTTTTCTATTTTTCAATGACAATGCAATCTAAAGACTGAACAGTGATTTATGTTATTCAGAAGTACATCTACATGTACAAAGGTGATCCATGTGTGACATTGAGGGCCCTTGAGAGTGATTATATACCAGTTGAAATGGTTTTTATAGCCAGTTTTGAATAACAGTTGATGGTGCTTAAACTGTTGAGCATATCATTCACTGTTATTTGATCTAACCTAAATAGTGACTATTCATACAGTTTTCAAAATCAATTTCTACCAATAAAGGGTTAACACGTATAGGTACAGTAGTTTCAAACATGTAGGACCGTCAGTTTTTAAATTGTTCCCTTTTGCCCAAATGCTTGTGTTTTCAATATTTGATGAAAACAAAGTTAAAACAAACAACAACAAAAACGGATTACTAAACATTCTATATTTAGCACTATTAGCAAGCTTTTCTTTTTTCACGGTCGAAGAACTTCAATAATGTAAAGGGAAGTAGGAAACCCAAATGTTCTGCTCATAGTTTTAAAAGAGTTAAATAGGTCAGCACGCAAGGCCGAAAAACAGTGGGAGGTCAGTCATGAAATTGATTGTTATGACTAGCGAGAAAGAAAATATGAATTCCACAATCACCATTGAAATGTTAAATCAGTGCCCTCCAGGAGAACTCCATTTATTTATAAGCATTTTCCCATTAGTTTACAGTTTACGCTTGTCCCAAGCATGTTCACACAGATAAGAGCAAGCTCACATTTATAGGAACAGTATGATGCATCAAAATAAAAATATATATTGGGGTGAACTTGAATCTTGAGGTCCATACTGTTACTATTGCAAAGCTTCTTTAATCTATATTATAGTATTTTTTAAATATTTGTTTTGGTCAAAACTTCCATAGCATTTTTTTGCAAAGTATGAAATGAATTCCAGCACTTAATGTGTTAAGAATACTGGTATGTAAAGTTGTTTTTATTTAATCATTTTTAAATTTCCTCTAATTATACCTTTATCAAGAGAGAAGAAGCATTTCCACTACCTTGGTAAATGGTTTATTAATTAGGGCTATAGGGAATCTCTATCTCTAGGAGTTTTCACCCAAGTGTAAAGTGCTTTTGAAATGGGGATTCTCTCTCTCTCTATATAATAGCTATGTTTCCACTAGCTATGCCAGTGCATTGAGATAAATGTTTTGCTTTTTTTTTCGCTAGCAGAGGACATATCTCTCAGGAAGAGGGGGGGGGGGCTTAAAAAAAAGAACTACACTTTGCAATACTTACGGTCCAGCTGGGACAGAAGCGTGTTAACGTGTAGTGTATTTGTATATTTTTCAGATGTACATTGTAATTGTAACATTTTTTGTGAGGGACAGATCAAGAATTTTAAGTTTGGATGTACCGGTATGGCCGTGTCTCAATATTTTTCACAGCTCACTAAACTTAGAATAAGATTTAAAATCTTCATGAGAATAAGATCAGTATACTTGTAGTGTATACTGCATTCTATGAAAATTTAGGCCTGAGTTTAGGATAGTGAGAACACAGCTATAGTGATGATGTGTAGAGCCTTGTGGGAATTGTCCCATATTGTCTGGGACCTTAAAAACATAAACAAGATTTCATGTTTTTCAACCTGCTACTTCCGCTCACATTCCATGAGTCATGTGAAAGCATTTTCTTGTTATGACTGAATACCTTCAGGCATTAACAGGTTTAGCCAATAGAGTACCGAAGCTGTGACGTCATAAAAATCTATTTTTAGAATTTCCTAATTTTTTCTTCATTTTCCGAAAGAGCATCAAAAATAATGTCCAGTTATGTCCAAGAAACTACAGTGTTATTTGCTCTGGCTCGTAATGGTTAGGAGCCAGAGCAGATAACACTGAGTTCCCATAGGAAATATATTTATTCAGATGGTCATATCTCAGCCAATAACTAACACATTCAATTGTTTTTTTTTTAAATTTGGACATTTAATATTTTTATGCTCTTTCGGAAAATGAAGAAAAATATAAGAAATTCTAAAAATAGATTTTTGATGATGTCACAGTCACACTTCACCACGCTATGCGTGATCATGTTCAGTTCGGTGGAAAAACAGAAAATTGGAAAATATCATTCTCCTTGTTTCAAGGGGGTGGGGGGTATTCTCCATCAACTCCAGGACAAAATAAGTGGACTTTCTTTGTTTTTGTCTTCTATTTTGTTGAACTAAAATGTAATCAAGTATCTTAGGGGGGCATTTGCCCTCTACCCCGCCCCTCCCTCCATTTCAAATCCTTTAGCTCCCCCACATGTTAATAGTTGTTAATTCTAATGAACTATGATAATAAACAAACATTAATGAATTCACATATCAGCGTTCAAACCAGTGGAACATATTGGTGGCATTACACCATTCTCCATTTAATTATAGAAAACTGTGTTTGTTAAAGAAGCTTCATATTTACGACACCATAATGATAACAACACATGTTACTGTATAACCACTGTTAAGCAGGGGTATCGTGTATCTGTACATGAGAGAATTGTATTCTTTGTTTAGGGTATATTTGTTGTTTGAGGTTGTATACTCTGAGTCTTTGCATTCTTTTAATGATTGCATGATTATGTATGGTAAACGTGCAGGGCTCAAATTAATTTTTTGTCCACGAGGGCTCTTCCCCCCAAAAAAGAGCCCCTGTGAGAAGGCTCACGGGGGCTCTTTTAGTACTGACGGGGGCTCTTTTTTATACTAATATCAATTGAATTGGTACCTATGATACTCCTCAATTATTTGCTATTTCATCATTATCATTGCAATCAGCATTTTCCCTCTTACAAATTTACAAGCTACATAGCTGTTACTGGCCTGTGTATATAATAACACTGATCTTTATGATGTCTTTAACGTGACATATCTTCTTCTCCCCTTGCAAACGAGAAAGAAAACAAGGTCATTAAAAGGGATTAAGCGACAAATAATGATTGTGATTCAAATTGATGCGAATATTTATTTGAATAAGCACTGCTATTCACCCGAATCTTCTTTGTAAAAACAACTTTTACAAATCTCAGCCATGCTTTATACTGAGTTGAGACGTTCCATTCAATGTAAAATACTCATTAAAGAATACACTTCTCCTAATCTGAAAGTGATCTTACAACACAGTGGCAGATTTGCATGGCTGAGATTTGTAAAAGTCGTTTTAACAAAGAAGATTCTGGTGAAAAGCATTGCTTATTCAAAAAAAA